CCCCCTCCCCGCTGCAGCATTGCTTGTTTTGACCTTCGCATCTTTATGTCTCTATGGCCCTTTGGTGTATTTCAATCACCTCGTCCCTCTCTCAGTGCGTCCCCTCGTCTCTCCTTTCGCGCTGCATTGCATCTCCCTGAGCGCTCTCCTTTCCTCTTGTCCACCCATCCCATTACTTATTCTGCTCTCTTGTTCACCTCTTCTTACCCTTCACCAACCACTATCATCACCTCTCATTCCTTCCATTTCCTGTCTCCCAGTTTCTATTTTCTCTCCTGACAGTTCGCTCTATCTACTGTGAAGCCTTTTATGGCCTGGGTCTGTCACAGCCCCAACAACAGTGCAACAATGGCCACCACAAACACCCCAACAGCGGCTTAAAGGAAATTTACAGGGCTATTACGCGACGGCTACCCCACTAGGGATTCACCACAGCCAAAGGAACTGGTCTTAACACCCCCTTCAAAATCCACCACATGGCTTCCTTCCCTTTCGTGTGTATCTGTGTGTGATGCCAATGAATGTGTGTATGGGAGGGAGGAAATGTACGGGCATGTGCGTGCACTGCACTCATAAGCAAAAGTGTGTGTGATTCTGTGTTGAATGGGAGTTGATGTGCACACAAAAACTACTGGCATGAATTACATAACCACGCTGACTGCCAAAACACAGACTCATTCTTTCTCTGTATCCCTCACTCCCCCATTGTCACCCCCGCACAGCATCCCCCTAAACATCCCACAAAACACAATGTCCTGTTGATCTAATATGCAAACGAAAAATTGAGATTTTGGCTGGCACAGAAGGGGAGGTACTGTGCACAGCAGCACAGCACTTGTTTACCAATGAGCAGAGGGAAAAAAAACATCTCCCTGTATTCGATGCAAAATAATAGTAATGACAGGAAGTATTAATAGCAACTCTGCCTCTGATCGTACTAGACTCATGTAACACTTTTTCTCTCTATCTCTTCCTTGTCTTCAATCATTCTTATGACTCTTGGTTTCATATCTCGACCTAATGTAGTTTTTTATTTGAGACCCAGTCTGTTGTTTTATCTCCGTATCCTTCCTCTCCATCTCTGTCTTTCTTGCACACACAGAGACGGCGTTGTTCTCCATCTCTGTCTCGATATTTCTCTTTTGCTGCCTCCGCTGCTCCCTCACATCTACAGTGCAAGTTTCTATATTACCAGATCATTCTTTCCTTAGTGTCTGTCTTTCTCTCTTTCATTATATACTGGTGTCTTGCATTCACCCATTCTCTTTCTCTTCGACAACCACTCCATTTCGTTCATTATCTCTCCCGCTGGGGTTCAACTTTCTTTTATGATGTTCTTCAAACGAGGGCTGAGAAAAAGGTTTCACAGTAGCTATCTCTTACTCTCTGTTTTCATTCGCAACTGCTTTTTGGTCCATTCCCCGATATCACCACCTCCTGGGCATATGCTCCTGTCTTCCAATTCTCTCTTTTCTTAGTCTTAATGACCAATTCTAACTTAATTATCAGCATTTGAAGCTCTAATTTCGTCAATGCGTCCCAAGCTTTTCCTCCCTTGGTCACGTGCTTGGCATTCACTGGATCTCATTCTGTATCAATTTACACCAATTACGGGAGTAGCTTATACACAGATGTGCTCTTTTTTATATAACGGAGGCATCGTATTACAACACTTAGAGATATATCTGCAGGGAGTTTAAATTAAAAAGAACAAGGAGCTTACAAACACTAAATTGCTACTTCCTTGCTGTAATATGACACGAGTGTGTGCATGTGAACATTACAATATGTGCTTGTTCTCCCTGACTTATTTGGGGTTTGATGACACTTTTAGAATCGATACTGCACGACTCATTAAATCTGTATAGGTGTGCACATGTGTTTGTTGATGCGTGCATGACTTACGAGTAAGGCAGAGCAGGACCAGGACCAGGCTGCATAGGGCCGGAGAGAAGGGTGTAGGGAGGAGGCGACAGAGGACAGAGCTCCGGACAGGCTTCATTGTGTATTTAGAAGCTGTGTGTGTATGTTTGAGTGTGTGTGTGGATGTGCACGTTTGATCAATGGCTCCTCTGTGACCCTGCATGCACTGCTAAAGACAAGCTAGTCCACAAACAAACACACACACACACACACTAACACTGTGTATGTCCTCAACTGTGATGCTGCAGACACGTGCACAGGCTAACTGCCCGGTTTTACTGCATTACAATCAGACAGAAGTTGTTGTTTGAGGACACTTAAAGAAAGGACTCTTATGTGCTAACTGGAACACAACACATGCAAAGAAACTGCTTTAGATGCTAAGTCACAAATAAATGAACTGTAGCCAGGGCTTGCACGCTATCCACTAGACACTTGGCTAGCGCTCAGGGCGCTAACAGAGCTAGCGATTTAGACACTGTATCACAATGCACACAGTGAAAAGCATAGAGAAACAGAGAGTACCACTGTTGACTTTAGCACCTTGTGCTGCTTAGAAATAACTGACATGAATTGTCTTAAACCAATACAGTGCAGAAGCTGCTCAGTTCCATCAAAGCAAAACAAAAACAAAGCAAACACTGCTAGGCTACCTATTTTTCTACCACAGTGCTCTGAGCCTCCTGAGACTGGTGCCTCAGATCAATAAACCACAAAAACCAATGCCAAATGTGATCAAAGCAGACATGAAATACTATGCTCTATACCAGAGAGGGAATTCAGTTATGTCAGCTGTGATTTTTAACCAAATGAAGGACAACTTAATTAGCTCATCAGTAAGTGTGGGCTACGCTGCAGTGTCAAAGTTGGAGCTAAGCTAGTTCAGCGCCCTTCACATCAGCCACACAATTAACCACAACAACAGACTGCTTGTCTCGTGTAGGTCAAACCGCACTGCTCTAAGGAAAAGAAAACATCAATAATACAATATTTCAGTCGGATACAGGCTGAGTCAAGTGTATTTCTACTGATGTTGACTGAGTGCTAACTTTTGAAACAGAGCTATCTACCTACATTGCCATGCCCTCAAGGAGAGACAGAGAAATATAGGGCAACATTGTTAACCCTTGAAGACATTGTATTGTATTGAATAGTAAAACAGGGTTTCCCGCACTTCTCACTCGACAAATCGGCGGGCAGGAGTCAATGTTCCCTTTGAGCTATAACCAAACCAGCCAGGCCTCTGGAGAGAAACACTATCTCACTACAACCCATCTGGAGATAGCTAAGGTTAAATAAAATCCATTGAGCTCGAGTACTGCTCTATAAAGACAGAGAGTGGAAATGCTGGCCCTGTGTAGAATAACCAACCTGCTAGGAACACACAGCAGTCAGACGCTTTAGTTTCAAATATTACACATTTCAGTCTGCTACTTTACCCCAGAGACTTGCGCATTACTCACACAAGGTATCTACCATTATTCGCTTGAATGAGAGAACTCTTTTGATACGCTATCATGTACACACTGTAGCGTAAATGGACAGTGATTTGACATGGTAATTCTAGACTACTCAGAATAATCACAGCCTATCAAAAAGTGTATTCGCGCAGCATCAACCTGCCTTACTCTACCTTTCAAACATGCTCCACCGGGTGCCCTCCAGATACACACACACTCATACACACTGATCTGAAAGTCTGCTGTGTTTAAGGTCCGGACAGAGCTCCTCTGATTGTCAGGATCCAATGCATCGTCGGTGTGTTTGTATATTTGTTAAATATGTGTGTTTGTAGTGAAGAGACAAAGCGTGATGAGCTTCACCGCACACTTCACTGAGCGCTATCTGATGGAATAAAGTGCGGGTGTCATCTTTAGGATTACTACACACTCTCACTGTCTGAGCCACTGCAAACACAAGGAGCTCTAACGGCGATGGCCCCGACACTTCTGGCGAGGCAGAAAGTGGATCATCGCCAATCTTCCCTACAGCGCTGACTTCACCGGTCAACTGGCTGGCGCTGAGAAAATGACTGTGGGTTGGTGAACACCAGCAACTCGATCCTAGCAGGTCTGAGGCCTGGCAGCAGACCGACTGCAAAAAAAAAAGTCAGTTGTTCAAATTCACCCCTCAAATTGTGTTTGGTTTATCCATTCTGCCCTCTTCCTCTCTCCGCTTCCTCCAGTCCTCCCGTCAATCCGTGCAGGTTTGTTAGTTCCTTAAAGTTTGTTCTCCTTTCGCTTCGATTCTTTCCTGTTGATCTATAAAAATCGCTATAATCCCAAATGTGGTAGTGTGTTGATCACATCCGTCTGTCTATCCGTTTTCTGTCTGACACTTGTTTATATAACCCTGGCCACCCTCCCCTTGCTTAGTATGTGTGTGTGTGTCAATGTGGGATCAGTGTCTGCATATTTTGCATACTATTTTGTGAAGGTTAGAGATGAGTGTGTGTGTGGTTGGAAGCAGTGACAATGGTCCTCTTTCAGGTCAACAAACAGTGGCGGCGTGTGTCCCTGAATGTGCTCGTCTGTCCAGTGCTGACTGAAGCAGAGTGTACATTTAGCTGTCTGTTTGGCCCTTTTCACTTGCTACTGCCCATTAATTTATCCATGCAGGCGCACACAGAGGCATCACAGTGCTCTTTATGCTAAACGGCCATTTTTACGGCTGTAGGGATGCGCGCGGCTGTCTGCTGACAAGGACTTTGTACATATTTATGTGTGACATTTGTAATTCAAAGTGGAAGTGGATACAGCGAAAATGAACGCGACTGTGTTATGAATTATGCTGATGTGAACCTGGCTCAATAAAATATACCACCTCCATATTTTTACACTGATGAAACAGAAATCATTGCTAAGAGCTAGACCAACCTGTCAGTATATTTTGCATCCCCACACTCCTTTGTTTGTGATCATTGCCACATGTAGTAACATTACTGCTATTGGCAATAAAAGTGGCAATACAAAGCCAATGGTGGAGGCTAACGACAGTAGACTCTGTGTCTGTGACTTTCATTGTCCTGTAAAATGTGAAAGGCAACACACTCTTGCTATGGTAATTGCGCCTCTGCTTGTTCTTAATCAACTGATCATAAACTATGAGTCCTAATCTTCCACACGCTGTATTTACAAACATCTTTGTGCATTCAATTTGAAACATGCTGCTCCCTATTATCAAGTCAAATAAAGTCAATTTATTTATCAAGCGCTTTTAACCAAATAGGGTCATCACAAAGTGCTTTATCGAGTAACAAAGGGCATAATTACAGACCTAAAGAAAAACACAAGAAAACATCGCACTACTGGCGAATGTGTGTGTGTGTGTGTGTGTGTGTGTGTGTGTGTGTGTGTGTGTGTGTGTGTGTGTGTGTGTGTGTGTGTGTGTGTGTGTGTGTAGTTGTGTGTCAGAGTCGTCGTGTGTGTGTGTGTGTGTGTGTGTGTGTGTGTGTGTGTCGTCGTCGTCGTCGTCGTCGTTCGTTCGTTCGTTCGTTCGTTCGTTCGTTCGTTCGTTCGTTCGTTCGTTCGTTCGTCGTCGTCGTCGTCGTCGTCGTCGTCGTCGTCGTCGTCGTCGTCTCGTCGTCGTGTGTGTGTGTGTGTAGTAGTGTGTGTGTGTGTGTGTGTGTGTGTGTGTGTGTGTGTGTGTAGTAGAAGAAGTAGTAGTGTGTACGTCGTAGTAGAGTAGTAGTAGTAGTAGTACGTGTCGTCGCGTCGAGTAGTGTGTGTGTGTGTGTGTGTGTGTGTGTGTGTGTGTAGTTGTGTGTCAGAGTCCCTGTGTGGGCTACCCCCTGATGGGTGTATTTGTTTTTGTCGCAGTGTGTGCGGAAGGAAGGGAGGTAATAGCAAATTGTGTCCCCCATCCTCTCTTCCTCTCTCTCTCTCTCTCTGTCTCTTTTTCTCGCTCTGTCTCATCCAAATCACATTTTTAATGGGCTTCATTGGTGCCACCGTGGAATAAGTGTTGCCAAAGCACTTAAGGGGCTTAAGTCAGCGGCGTGCTGAAAATATTAAGCACTCAAACAGCCTTACAAGGATCCCTGCCTGCTTAAGAATGCCAAGGAGGTCGTGCCAGCATTTAATACCATTGGTATTAAAGCGCTCCGACATGGGAGAGGAACAGAAATATAGATATATACAGTATGTTCCCCAGCTGAGAATAAATGGGAGGGATGGAGGCTGCTGGGAAAGAATGGAAAAGAAGGGGGAGAAGATAGTCAAAGTGCAAAGTGCAACTAAAGACGAAGGACAAAGGAGAGGAAAGTGAAAAGTGGTGTTTGAGAGTCGTAAAGGAGGAGAGGAAATTTGAACGGAAAAAATAAACAAGCAGGGTAGAGGCGGAGAGATGCGAGGGAATCGGGCCAAGATGTGGGAGGTACGCGGGTTGATGGGATAGCTGTGAACCAGCAGCAGAGGGCTAATGCAGAGATTCTATCGGGAGGCTTATCCAAGATTAAATTTCTCTTTGTCCTTAAGGCGCTTCTTGGGTAAGCGGAAGTGTCGAATTTATTACGTATGTCTCCCTTGAGGTTGTGCGGGCGAGTGGGTTGGGAGAATGTGTGTGTTAGTGTGTGCGTTCGAGTGTTGTGGGGGTTATATGTATATGTGTCTGTGTAGGCGGCAATCTTGAGGGTTTATTAGTTGGCAAAGAGGGAAAGAGGGCAGATGTTCCTGAAAGGTAAAGATAAATCAAATGAACATGTCCTCCAGGGTGTTTCAGCACAAGTGAACATCCAAGTATTTAGTGTGGTTAAATTAACGTGGGCATGGCGACTCATGCATATAAATGGGCATGAATATAGATTGTGTATATCACGAGTTCAATTCAAACAGTAGTTAAAAGTTTTCTTTCATAACGTTGGTTTTATTAGTCTGCCACTAAGTCCCAGACTACCACACAGTTTGAACACTTACAGGAATGTATTAATTTCACAGGGGATAGTGGTGGTCTAATGGATAGTGAGGTGGGCTGAAGATCGGAAAGTTGTGAGTTCAAATCCCACCAGGAACACCACCACTAGTGTGCCCTTGAGTAAGGCACTTAGCCCTTAGTTACTCCAGGGAGAATATCCCTGTAATTGGTAATTGTAAGTTGCTTTGGATAAAGCTAAATGTAATGTCCTCATTGTCTCTCAGTGTAATCAAGATACTGAAAAAACAATGTTCTTGATTTTGGACACACTATAAGGAGAACATTAGAACTACCAAATTATAAGCCACCTTTTCTTACAACAACAAGTATTTTGACCCTGGTTTAAGTGCACTCACATAACGATTGGTATGTGCAGCCCCTCCTTGGCTTTCTGCTCTCCTTCCCCTCTCTTCTTTCTGATTTCTTGTTTGTCTGACTGGGTGTTAATAGCTGGCCTAGAGCCAAGCTAATCCAACTGGGTTCGCTCTGAACTCTCTAATTAGAAAAGTCACAGCTCCTCGATCTATGAACACTATCAGTGACTGCATTTTCTAAAGGCTGGGCTCGGGCTACTTCCTGTTCACCTCATGCTCCTGGGCACAGGGATCAATGTGGCAGAATCATTTGGGTACATTTCGGGCTGACACCAATCGTCTTCCTTCACACCACACAGGATTACAAAGTTTTGATTTTCTTTATTTTCCACAGTCTGTTCACAGTGGAGCATGGCAAATAAATACAAGTCAATATGTCACATCATGACAGGATAACAAGAATCCCAAACAGAAATTTGAATTGCTAAGAAATCACATTGTTTGGATGTGAATATATAAGCAGGCAGTGTGTTATAAGTACATACCACCTTTTTCTACAGGAAACTAGGAGGCTTGGCAGCGTCCCTTCACTGGTTTTACAGTGTGGAAGAAAAGACAATTAAGCTGCCATAATACCCATTGTGGACATCCTATTAGGCTCATCCCCAATACACATTTACCCTGCATTAACTGTGCAGTTAAGGGGACAATTCTAGTTGTTTTTTTCAAGCCTGGAAAATAATCAAGCAGGCGTATCAGAACAAAACACTCTCATGTGACAGTTCTGTTCAAGGAGGACGCTATTGAAGTTAAAGGAGCTAATTAAAGCTCAATGCTTAAATATAAATGCTTTTCGTTGAACTATCATGAATTTGCTTTATTAGATATTCAGTAAACACCAGATATGTGAAACATGATTTCATCCTGAAGAAAAAACTGAAATGTTTCCGTCTTGGGGCCACACATAATGTGAGTAAGAGGTGCAATTTGTCTCCTCACATCCAATGCTGGGGAATCTTCCTCTTTTGTGCCAGTGGGGGAAATGTTTTGACACTTTCAGGTCAAAAACATAACTCCTGCTAATTGTTCAAACAAAGAAGTGTCTGGAAATCAACCAACTTGGCACAAATGAGCTTATTTCTTTCCTGGCATGCAATCAGATTTATATTAAAGCTATTCATATACCACAAAATCAAATCACATTTTCTCAACAGAACTAAAACCCTCATCTCCATGTGTCAAAGTCCCTCTGCTCTGCAACCGTCTACCCTACCTTCCCCCATGTGACTTCTGTGCTGTTTAAGACAGTCAAACCTCCTGGACTGGAAAACACTGCCACTAAATGTAATCACCACAGCAATTACTTTCCCCACAAAACGTAATTGGCAAAGCAAATTAGTATATGTATTTTGACAGGGTTGAATTGTGAATGACTAATGCGGAGCACAGCAGGAATGATATTGAGTCAAAGCCACTGCGACACATCAGGGGCAAAATCATTGACAGTGTGCTTTTTAGTTTGAACAGAAAATAACAAAACATGGGTAGATACTGCTGCAGGGGCCAGCTTATGTGGGAAAAGGGCTCCAAGAAAGTTATTGCTAGGGTGAATAACATCTGTCGCACTAGCAGTCAGTGATTATAGGTAGCTGCAGGTATCGTCATTCGCCAAGATAAAGAGAACAGCAGGAAACGAGGTGTTAGGCTAAGCATATAGACCGACAAGGCTGAAAGCTTTGTAATGCAGACATGACACTGTAGTCTTGCTATTCTCATACATGCATTCCTATAAAGACATGTATGAGAAGGCATTACAGGCATATTACATTATGCAGAACCATGCAATGCCCCCCATTGGGATACAACAGAACGCTAAGCTCAGTCATCCCTTATTCAGTAAGATAAATGCAAACAGTGTTACCTGCCAAGTAGAGAAGGTACAGCATGAGCCTCCTAATGAGTGTTTCTGTGTGTGCTGCGAGCCACATGCTTCACAGCGACCTGCTGGGAGCAACACCCATTATCTGTGTGTCATCATACCTCCCAGTGACAGGCCAAGACTCTCCACTCACTGTTTCCTCCGCCGCGGTGCA